TGTCTACAGTATATTTCCCGACTGTTTATCTGATATAGCAGCATATGCCTGTCTATGTGAATACGACCCCGCTTTTGACTCTGAAAAATAAGCATCTCAAGTGCAGAGGAAAAAAAAGGAAAAATATAAATAGACCACAATATATAAGAAAATTAGATCCTAACAGTTTATGCGTAAAGAGTCAAAATATGATACTGCAAATGTATGGTCATCGGCTGTATTTACTGTAATGAACATTGATATTACATGTGTAAAATGATGCTTGAAAGAGTATTTGTTTAGAAAATCAGAGGCCCCAGAACTGAACCTTGAGGAACATCTCACAATGCATCTTCACAAACTGCTGGCTTGTCTTTTTTATAGAGATTGATTCTAGATGATATCCTCCCAATGGAATATAAAATTAGGTCCTTATAAAAGTCCTTGTTTGAGATTAGCTGTGTGTATTTTATTATTCCAGATAACACTGCCAAATCCAGCACATTTTATTCATTATTTTGGATGATCCGGCTTATTGTAAATGGGAAACAATTTACACATCTGCTAAATGAATAATTCTAAATATGACCATGATAATGATGTTAATCTAAGAGGGCAATTAACAAGTGGTGAAAGGATGGAAACTACCTGGAGTTTAAGAAAAGTACATTTCTGAATCATCTTGCACACTGGGATTTTTAAAGACTTGTGTCTAATCTGTACACACATTCAGAAGACAGAGAGAAGTGTTGAAACCTATCTTTGTAAACGATGGCTGGATAGAGATGGAGGGAGAGGTCAGAAGAACAGAGGGGATCTGGTGTGGATGGCTCTCTGGAGCCTCGAGGGTGGGGGTGATGCTGGCTACCCAGGATGGAAAGGCACTTCTACAGAGCAGAGAATGATGTGGAGAGGCGTGGAGTGCACACTCACACACACTTCCTCACACATGCACACGTAGCCCTCTCGGAAAGCTAAAGAATATAAGTGTTGTGAAATGAGACGATTGGAAGTGGAAGCAGAATTGGTGACCCGGCCTTCCTTCCGGCCAGTATGACTTCTGTCCAAGGTTGGACCCTATAGCATTGGTTTGATACATTCAGAGTGACAGCCTGTGTCAAGGTTAGCCTTGCTGCAGTGCACTGGTTTGCCACTAGCACTTAATTGTGCAGCTGTTGGATGAAACCACATGTCTTCCAGAGGAAAGGCAACAGTCATTTTCTCATTGATGCTTCATGATGGATTGTTTTGACCATTGGTGTTTACAACCAGGGCGCCACAGAACTGGCTCATGAATCAACATGCAGCTAGAATAACTCTAAATCTAATTTTAGTCATTTACAAGTTGAGCTGCCTGTGTGTTTGTGATTCCCGTTTGCCTTGTTGATAAAAACATTTCTGATTTGGATTGTTTGCACAGATTTTCCCTCTTTCTCATAAGACCATCAGGCCTCTGGCTCTTTCATGCAACTTTCCAGTTTGCAGTTGTCCCTGGACTCATCAGTCAGCCATGAGCCACAGGTTTTCCAACTGCAAGTCTGGACCATAGTACAATCAGAGCTTTTCATGTCAGCCGTCACTCTTAAGATGAGTGGAGCAGAGAAGAAGAAAGCAAGGTGGCGGTCAGGAGCTCTTAAAAGTGATATACTAGCTGCGTCTGAGCAGGATATTGGGTGTGTGTGTGTGTGCGGACCATCTGCTCTGCTGAAATTAGCTGCCTACTCCAGTTAAATGCCGTGACAGCTTGCTGGTTAGGGAAACACCAACCTGATATTAACTCTTGGAGATGTATCAACCACAAGCTCTTTGGCTGCGTGTTCAAACCGTAGCAGCTCCTCGCGGGAAAGATCTGCTGCAAGTTCCCCACAGTGCTCAGAGTTAAGTGGGCTTTTAGCGCTGGGAGAACTACAAAATTATATATATTGTTGACTTTAAAGCACTTCAAACAGGTTTAATAACCATTACAAACTGTGAAGTCCACTGAGACAAATGTAATATTTGTGATATTGGGCTATATAAATAAACATTGATTGATTGATTGAATATAGCAACAGCAGAAGCCATGACTAGCAAAGCTCTCAAGCACCTTTTCAGAGTTAAAAGAAAAGAGTTAACATGGCAGAGATAATTGCAAAGCACTACTGAAAAGGATTAAACTGGGACCACAGGAGTTCTCACAGTTATTCAAAGACTAAAGAATAAAAATAAGAATGGCTCATTTGTTTCCGGATAATGTGTTTTGCATTGTTCTGTGTTACACGGTATCAGGCATACATCGATGACCTAACTTGCCCACAATGTCGTTCTTCTTTTAAAAAGAAAAACAAGGGGGGGGACATTTCTTTTGATTCCTTTTCACGTAGGCAGCTCGCCTGTCATCAAATTCAGTTCAACTCATGTTTTAATCTACACGGAAAATAACTGAGGCTGGGCTTTCCTTAGGGTGTGAGATACTTCCAAGGACATGATTTCATTTTTTTTTTTTTGTAAAGGATGGCCTTGTTTTATTTTTCAAGAATCCACAAACACAATTCCAGACACGTGGAAACGATGAACATTTCCCTTAGAATCAAACATCTGGCCAGGCAACCCAGCCTAAGTGTTTCAGACATTACTAACACTGCTGTACATGAGAGAAATAAGAGGATGCTGTGCTGCCGGCCGGTTTCCTTGGATTGGAGTATAATTGATCAGGAAAGGCACTTCAACTGTGCCTCTCAGCTCCTCTGAGTGTTGTGGCATTTGGACGCCTACAAACCTCCTCTGGCTTCTATATGAGGTGTAGGGAGTGACCTTTTAATGACAGGACCTTACTATATACACTGTGCACTCCCTCCAGTTTGCTTTAACCATCAGTTACACATCATGCCGTCCTTTCCATCTATCTCATCTTGTGGCACTTTTCTTCAACCTCTTTTATATATATTTGTACGTCTTTTAACAAACCCCTTTCCCTTACCTTTCTGTTATTGTCCCATAGCATATTGTTTCCCATATAGCATTAAAAACCTAAAATTACGTGGTGCCCTAACTAGTAACAATTATAATATATAAAACAACTCACTGACTCCATGCATTCATAGCATGTTGTTTTCACTCTTTTATATCATTGACATCTTTTTTATCTTTGTTTGAGTGACAAATAAAGAAATACGTCACTTCATGGAATCTGAAGTGGGAACTGATTGAGAAAACTATCAGTGGATTAATTGTAATTAAAAAATAATAGCTAGTTGCAGCCATATTTAAAAAATACTTTAAAGAACAAAACAAACATCACATGCTCAGTGTAAAGCCATGCTATCACGTATGTTTTAAGTCCCTCTAGAGATGTTATGGAATATCTAACGTAAATAAATTGATACATTTATACTGTTATTCTTGTGTGGCATAAAGGGATTATAACTGCATTCTCTTGTGTAAATAAACAACCTTGAGTCCTTATTTCCTCGTTCCTCATCCTGCAGAGAAAGAAAGTTCTTGATGGAGATTGGTTGCAGCACTTTCCTCCGCCTGACACTGAACCGTCAAACCCACTCACATCAACACACACACACACCTGGGCTTCTTTCACTACACTGCTGACTTTTCACTTTGCATTACAGTACCATTCGATGCTTGGGCAACACACACACACACACACACAGTAGCAGGTCATTGCTGTATCCTTGCAGCATTATGAAACAATATGGCTGTCTTCAAAGTGAGCACTCCTCACCACAGGAAGCCTTTCAGTGCAGAGAGAAAGAGATGAGGGTAAGATAAATAATATGTGTGTGTGGGGGGGGGGGGGGGGGGCAGAGAGAAATGGAGGAAAGTAACAGGCAGGTAAGAAAGCAATAAGGTGGGAGGAGAGAGAATAAAAGGAACAGAGTGAGGCAGAAGGAAGAAGAGAGAGCACTATGAGAGGAACAAAGTCTCCGTCCCAACCTTCCTGATCCAGAATCTTCCATTACATGACCGTTTAAAACCCTTCATGCATGTTCTTTTTGTTTCCTTTGCAAAAAGGTTGAAATATGATCAAAGTGCCTTTTAAAAAATCACTCTTCTCATCTTATACTCGAATCCCTCTTCACTTTGCTGCAAGACATTTCTCAAAATACATTCATATTCCAGGAACGCCATATATGAAATGTGAAGCTATAACAATGAGAAACAGACAGTCAATCTGACAGCAGAGGGTATAGAATGACATCGAAATGAATGGAGGAGACAGTTAAAATATGTCTTAATGAAATCTTGCACTGACTGTCACATTTGTTTATTTTCCCACACTCTGCTAAAGCCGATGTTGTTAACAAATATCACTGATGGTGTTAAAGTGCAACATGTTTCATTCAATGTTTAAATTAACAGCAACACGTAAGTTTGATTATTGTTAACAATACAATAGTTGTGTCATTCACAAACAAATGGGAGCTGATCATTTAATAAATTATGCCTATGGCAGCTACCACGTGGAAACAACAAGAGCTGTGATTGGTTGGATCGGGCTGCTTGTGTTTTCAGGGTCAGTAATCTGCTGCTTTTCAGGAACACACAACAAGCAAAGCCTAACTACCTTCAGCTCTCCACAATCACTGCAACTAATGAAAGAACAGAAGCATGGCGGCTGCACAAAGCAAAGTAGAAGTCACCAGGATGTAACTTCAGATATATTATATTAAAATCACTCTATATCACAAAGTGACAGAATGTAAAAGTATGACAACATCATTTAAACATCTATTCACAATTAACTTTACATTATAAATATTGTTTTGTCTTTCATTCAGGTTTGTCCAGGTTTCCCACCACTTCACAAACATCTGATTCAAGGACTTTTCAACGACTCACCAGGCCGAATAACCTCAAATGCAAAGACCGCACACAGACATGCAATACATGTAAATGATTGTTAAAAGAGGCTCATAGTCAATAAAGAGCGGCAAATCGGGGTAGTATCTATTCCTTGAATAAGTTAATGGGAGAGCTTAGTATGAAATAAAGAGCAGTGTGTTTAACTTCCTGCCGGTCCTTACCGTCGTCCTCCTTGCTGTGTGTGTTCTGCGGACTGTGGCGCATCCTCTCCCCTCGGCTGGCCGGGCTCAGGTCAGACGCTGCTCCCAGATCAGCTGCTAACCATGTGGGCTCGCTCATCTCTGCCTCCTCCTCGCTGCTCAGTGAACTGTCATCCTGCAAAAGGAAAGAACAAACAGGAAAATAAGATATCTATATTTGTATAGTAATCAACAAGTATTTGTATAGATCCAGACAAAGGGAATATACAATCTAATAAGACCACAACATTTCATTTTTCAGGCATTGATCCTCAGAGAAATCCAAGAATCTTTAATAACCAGAAAACACATTTGATCTATTAAAAGGGAATGTGGTTATTGCTGGTAAACACTGTACGAATTCAAAGTCTTCAGTATTCTTTACTGATCATATTACAAAAGCGTTTGTCTTACAAAAGATTACCTTGAAGTTGATGTGGTCTGCACTTTACACAGGTGATTGGCAAAGTGATTTACTGACGGTAAGTATTTCAAGAATGTTATTTCCTTTAACAAACATTTCACTAAAATCATTCTTGCTTCAACCTGAGATGTTTTATACAACATGTAATGGCAGATGTACGCATTTATGACATTGTAAGCAAAGTTGACTTCAAACCAAGGACGACTTGGAGAGTAACTTGACTGACAACACTGTGAAACTTTAAGATCTTTTGTAAGAAAAAAGCAACATTGAACCTTTGTGTATGCTTTTGTCTGATTTAATCCAAAAAGTGCGGAGACAACGCCAAGCGCAGATAGCATCTCACAACGCACTTATCTTCTCTTGCACTTTATATGTCGTTGCTGCTATATTGTATATATATAGCAGCAACTTGTATCATGTTCTTAAATGTTTTATCTGAGGGACTGCGGATGGAAATGAGCTCCGAGCTAAAATCCGGCATATTTACACTATTTGCATTTTCTTGCTTTAAGTGTTCATTAATGTGCATTGTCCCTGCTAAATAAACGATTAAATGAAATTAAAAACAAGGACACATTTATCACCTTTCCTTTGTGCCTAAAAGGCTCCTCTTAGCATTCTGCTACTCTTTTTACCCTTCAAGTGTCAACAAATGGCAAAACGCATTAGTGGACAGGTGTGTAGATCATGATAGAAGTGTTGAAAAAATGTTTCCTCACTTGCAGACGTGTCAAAAAAGTAAAGCAATATGAACTATAAGGAAGAAAATAAGTCAACTGTAGTAGAAGAACTCGCAGAAAAAGGAAGGAAAGACTAAATCAACAAAACTGTTTTCTCATGAAAGTTATCTTTTGTAAATCCATCCGATTATCCACCTTTTCATGAATGAAAATGTTTCGAGCCCTTTTTAATCTTTCTATTCAGCATCCAGGCATGACAGCTGCTCCGCCGGTTTAACCCAAACATCAGAGGAAACAAGAAACACGAGGCAGGGGAACAGCAGGCAGGCAAATCAAACACAACATGCTTCTCAGTGTGTAGCACCTGCAGGCCTCGCAGCAGCACACTGAGACGCTTTCCTCATAACTCTGAGCGCCTGCCTTTCACCTCACACACTTTCCCTCTGTTCACAACATGAAACACTCCCAATGGAAACCGTTTGCCAGTCAAGAGTTTCCAAAAGCTGAGCATGAATGTTTTTATGAAATAGATTTAACGGTTGTTAGATAAAACTGTGACTGACAAAAGCATAAAAAGATGTACAGACTGAACATAAAGTGAAGTTTAGAGACGATTCAAGACAAAAGAAAGACACACGACATGGGAACAAACATTTTGAATAATCTTCATTCAAGTTAAGAAGTCACAAATGTAAGCTCAGCTTGAAGCTAAAATACTTAATTTCCTATGTCAAGGTGACACATGGAGGAAAATAAAATATAATTGAAAAAAGGTAAAACTGTGAGCCAGGTAACAGCAAGAGCCACTGGCTGTTTGTAGCAAATAATCATGAACAGATAAAACACTAATCACTGATATATGTACAATTTAGGACGTGTATACTGCACAATATTATAGGGTTAGGGACTAAGTACGCTTAAGACAGTGGGTTATAAAAAGCAAGAATACAACATTTCGTTTCCTGCATTAAAGAAAGATATTCAACACGACCCTCCACCTTTATGACCTCCATTTCCTTTACATCTCTCTACGAATACACAATACCTGCAATATACCTTCAACCTTCAATATGTACAACAGGCCTGTAACTTGAACCAAGAATTCAGGGTCTTTACTAAAAGACAAGACTTCGGTTAATAAGCCATGAACACGCCCCAGAAACAAAGAGCTGAAACTTCATAACCCCTTTACTCTGCGACAATCAGCTACAAGAAATCTGCAACACACACACACACACACACACACACACACACACACACACACACACACACACACACACACACACACACACACACACACACACACACACCACACACACACACACACACACACACACACACACACACACACACACACACACACACACACACACACACACACACACACACACACACACACACACACACACATACACATTTATAGCTGTTATCAGCATCTAAAGGAGACCTGCACTCTCAGTAATGAGGCCATTATTGGTACAACTGCCTTTTACTACACGCACACACATGTTCACACACAAACACATACAAAAAGATTAATGAATGAGCAAAGACCTCGACGACACTGGAGCTAAGTAGCAGTAAACTGGTCCTTTCATCACTGTTGTGGCCCTAAAAAGGCTGAAATAGAAGGTGGACTGGCAGGCGCAGAGCAGCAGCCTCATGGCACCGAAGTCACATGTATTTTCTGGTTATTATACATCTGTGTCACCCTTCACTCTGAGCAGGGTACGATGCATAATTCAGCAGTTTACATGTGACAGTGAAAAAAATGTTGCAGCTGATAATGAGAGCTGCTCTGCAACAGGATTGGCTGATAACAAAAAGGTCAAGAAAACCGACGCAGATATAAAATCACAACATAAGTGTTCCACCCAGGGGCGGACTGGCCATCTGTAGAATCTGGAGAACCACAGAACGGCCGGTCGTCAAGCGCCGTTGACGGCCGGCACTTTAAAAAAAAAAAAGGTTTAACGTCATCATTTAAATTGCGCTGACAGCCGACAGAGGGCGACAGCGGCCGCTAATGCAGTTGTGTGGTTTTTATGTCAAATAATCACACACGAAGAAGAAAAAAGACCGGCCACATGAAGAGAAGGGATTAGACGCCACGGCAGACAGGGAGAATGAAAAAACATGGTTAAAAATCAAAGAAAAAGGTGGGGCCGAGAAGGCAAGAGAAAAAAAGATGAAGTCACTCGCAGGTGAAGCATATAAATGTGGCAAATTGACAGACCTTTTTGGCAGCAGCGCTGCTACAAGCACTATCAGCAGCAGCAGCTTAGAACAAGAGCAAGATGATGAAGAGAATGATGTGGGCGCGAGTTCAGATATACAGCCAGCCTCCTCCGTTCATGATGAGGGACAAAGTTGAGCTGGTGGAAGAACCAGCTCAACTGGCACGTATACAAGTGCAGGGCAAGAGCAAGAGGTGGGTGAGAATTAACCCTTGAACTCAGTGGCGTTTTCTCCTGGAGGCCAAGGGAAGCCAGGCTTCCCCTGTTTTTTTGTATTGTAGTTATAATATTAATAAATACATAAAAACACTTCGTTTAGTTTCGGTAATTATGCTGCCGGCCCGTCTCTCCCCCATTCTCATTGAGTATTTTACAAAGAGTGAAACAGCGCCCCTCTAGATGTTATGGTGAAACAGTAGATTGCACTCTGTTGTGAGAGGAGGCCAGCCGAAATTGGCTTCCCTTGGTGAAAAAAAATGGAGGGATTGACCAATCAGATGAGGCTCACGTCATGCCTCACAATCCAACCAAATCGCATCAACTTCAGTTCGTACTGTAACTGTCATCACTGCCCTTAAAAAGTAGCAAGCAACTGAAGCAAGTGCAATTATGGAGGGTGGAGTATTTCATCAAAAATAATTTTACTAAACTTCCGCTACAGCAGCAACTAAAAATGAAATCTGATGACAGGCCAATGCCCAAACTGGAGCTGTGTACTGAGATGAAAAAAGGAGCAAATCGGACGTAAAACTTTAAATAATAAACAGCGGATTTCTAACATTTGACATTTCATGTGGAAATGACTGGGTCAGTTTCCAGGGCTGAATTTTAGTCCCAGTCCGCCCCTGGTTCCACCTGTGTAGCTGTTTGCATATGCAATTAAACAGAAAGTTAATTCATTCCTGGGGAAACCTACGTAACTGTGGATCTGTTTTTGTAAAGAGTTAAGGTAGTTTAACATATTGTGAATGTATTATTATTTTTGCTAAAAACGTATGGTTATCAAAACCTACACCGCCTAAATTAAAGTTAAATTAAAGTTAAATTAAAGTGGAATAGTTCATCATTACATTTAAAACAGTGCATTATTGGTCCTGTTTTGTCTCGGTTTTGTTCAGGGCGCATATTCGATTAATAGTCGACGGTGAAAAACACACTAAATAATAGTTTTCCTAATACCGGTGGTGTTTCTATCCTTTGATAAAGAGATTATTTTCATTGGGTGGATCACCACAGGGCATACTTCAGATACAAAACTGTGTGGAAACCAGGCGATGGACTGCATGGAAATATGTACGTTTACTAATTTAGTCTATAACGTTTTTACCCATAGACTATTTTACATAAAAAGGGATTTGTGATGGTCTTTCTTCTACGAGTTTACATTACTTGATTGTTTCCTCTTGATTAATTGCACAAAAAAGTACCTCTGCTCATGTAGCAGAGGGGATCATGGGAGCAGAGTTTGGATGGGGGGGGCGTCTGGAGGTCATCAGGTTCACGAGGAGGTTTGGGGGTAGGGTAGATAAAGCCTAATCTCTTCCCCTGAGCACATCTAGCTTCAAAATAAGAAGCTTTCTTGTACATGTCAAGTAACCACAGTGAGTTGCATTATTTCAGCACAGAAACTGTTCTTTTCCATTCAGTTGGTAATTTGCGGCCTCAAAGATCATTTTTCGACACCTTTTCCTCCCATGTCATCAACTCCCAACATGTAGTAAGAGTAACGACATCCATGTTATATATATTATCTCTTATATCTATCCAAATATAATGTGCTTCATAGCTGTTT